TGAAAGCTAGTATTTACAGTGTTTTGTTTCTCCAACATCCAACGCTTGAGGCTTTGCTGTTCTGTGTTAAAGCACTTAACCTCTATATTTGCAAAGCCACTTTCTAATTTGTTTGACTGCACATGAAAGCATCATAGTGGAAAAACCTGTAAATCAATCAACACTTTTAACTTCTGACCCTTAAAGCTATAGTGCGTAACTTCTACAGGTCCATAAATGTCCGTTTCACCCAAGCCATTACTAGAGGAGATGACACAATGCTGATTAAGCCGATCGGCTCCTCTAACATCTCGCGGTATTTTTCAATATATATCATTTTTAGTTTGCGTGTCGACCGGCGACATTCCCGCGCTGGTGCACAGGAAATGCTTCTTCACAACAAGAAGGGAGGGGGAGGAAGAGCAGAGAGTGTCATAGCAAGAGGTAGAGCGCAGGTAGAAAGAGAAAGCAACATGGCGGAGAAGCGGCCGAGACACAAAGAAAAAGCCTGGACGTTCGGCTGAAGGTCTATTAGCAAAGAAGGAAAGTGACCGATGGAGGAGGCAAACAAGGATTTGTATTGGCCTTGCTTTTCCTCGGTGGAGAGCCCTGAAGGAAGAAATTGGGCTGAGGGCAGACACGGATGTTGCCTTGCTGCTGTTGGATAAGTAAGTGACTTGGTTTATAATTATGAGTAGTATGTGTTGCTGTTACATGTACTGGACCTAGTACTTTATTATTTTCTTCTTGGAAATGGTGCTATGAACGTAATGTAATGTTAGCAGCCTGGTGTTCACCACGTTGTGTAGCGTTGTGTACACGGTGTGAAGCGAGTGTTACTCTGTGTACACGATGTGTGGCGACTGGCGAGTGTTACTCTGTGTACACGATGTGTGGCGACTGGCGAGTGTTACTCTGTGTTCACGGTATGTGGCGACAGGCCAGTGTTACTCTGTGTACATGGAAGTGGCGCCGGCTTATTAGTTGTAATAACGCATTATCCGCTGGGAGGCGACAGAAGTTACGCACTATATCTTTAAATCTGAAAAGTAAATACAAAAAATACCAAAGCATTTCTTTTCAGCTGGGGGCAAATCCTTTTACGTGGAACACCAAAATAAAAGCTGAATACCTGCATATAAACCGATCTTTTATCAACAATCTGAGTTGCAACTAATGATTATTTTTTATTATTGATTTCTTTTGATCTGTTAGGCTAAATGTCAGAACGTGTCTCAAATAATTTCTCATGATGACAATTTCCCTGAGCCAAAGGTTAGGTCTTAAAATTGCTTGTTTAGTCCAAACAAAAGTCCAAAACTTAAACATATTAATTTTACTATTTTATAAGATAAAAGCGGCAAATTCTCACATTTGAGAAGCTGATAGACAAGAAAGTGTTGCCATTTTGCTTTAGAAATTACTCTACCAATTAATGGATTATCAAAATAGTTGTCATTTAATTTTCATGCGATGAATTATCGATTTATCAACTACTCATTTCAGCTCTACACAAAGTTTTTAGGTTTGGAAGCGCTATCTAATTGCACTTAAACATCAATGGCTGTATGCATTTCTAACAAAGTAATATGCACACAGTATGTCGTATTTTACAACATTTTAAAACAGTGAAAAGATGCTCCACAGAAGCTTTTTCTCTGTGAGCACAGTTGACTTGAGTCAGAGTAATACCATGTGTAGTATTTGCAGGTTGAGCAACAGTGCTAAAATTACAGGGCACAGTGAAACCAGGCAGAGTAATAACATATTTTAACAATGTAAGGCATGTAGGAAACTGTCATGATCATCTCCTTACATCACCTCCACATGACAGATCCTGCAGGAACAATGTTTTCAGAAGCACTAAACCAAGTGTTTAGACACTTCTTGTAAGCTCAAAGTAAATAAAAGACTTGTCTTAACCGCTGAAATGGTTTACCAATATGTGGACTGACAGGTCATTTGGGAGACTTCTTATTTGTAGAATAGCCACTAAAAGGTAAACATTTTCTGATTCCACCGTCAGAGATTCCTTTTCATATCAGGTATCTTTAGGCAGTATAAGATTGTAAGATTGTGGAGAGTACTTGTTTTTATTTTTTCATTTCATGGACAACATGATCACTCAAGCAAACACAGAATAGAACTGATTCGTTGATGAATCCCCATACATCCCTTGCAAGTCAACATCAGATAACACTACGCCTTGGGATTAGTGATGTAGAGTAAGAATATACTGTACTTAAGCAAAATTTTGATGTACTTGTAGTTTATTTGAATATTTCCATTTTATGCTACTTAACACTCTCCTTTACGGGGACAAACTTTATGTTTTAGTCTACTTAAAACTTAAAACTAGCTTCACTTTGACAAGCCTCGACAGTAAAATGCTACTTATGAATTAATGCATCAGTATTAACTATCTAAAAATTAAAAATAATATACTTACTAACAGGGACTATTTGTCTGCAGAGCAAGCACTTACTTAGGTACTTTAAATTTATTTTAGTTTAAACTTAAGCTGCACCCTTCCAACTTGTTACCAATTTCTAAATTAATGGCAAACAAACAAAACAAGAGGCTAACATATATGAAACGCTTAACTTTATTTTATCTTCTGCTATGATGCAGTAACAAAAAAAAACAAAAAAAAAAACAAAAAAACTTTTGGTCGCAATAAAATTAAGTTTGATGGGGAAACACATACATTTGGGGTATTATAAAATCAACAGACACTTCTCTGCTCGTCCTGAAATAATTAATAACAGTTATATGACCTCCTCTAACTCTCCTGCTAATAATTTGTGTACAGTCCCTAACTTTACAAATTTTCGCACATTTTAACTAGCTAACATCGTACAAACAATGGCAGATACTTTGTATTTTAACATTTTTAACAACATGATAATAATAACAATTATCATTATAACACTTTTACATTTCAAATTTGTATATTTTCGGACTTAAAGGAAGGCTGTGTGAACAAATAAATTATTTAACATTAACTAAATAAAGCTAGCTAATATCCGGTCATTTTAGGATGCTGAGAACAAATAGCAGAAGACAACTACGTCGGATGTAAGTGACAAAAAGGTGTTTTCTTGATGTAAAAACATGGTGACAGAAATTTCTTTTAATTAATAGTGTTAGGGTATGATTTATTTACCCCTAAATTACTTGACTAACTGTCAAAAAAACTGAATAAAAGTGTAGTTTGACGTTAATTGAAAACTAGCTAGCGGTTAACATCTTAACGGTTTACGACTAACGTTAACCTTAGACAACTACGGCCAATACGAGTTACAAATATGTTTTCTGGATGGTATCAGAACTTAATTCCACTATTAATAATTTAGGATAAAATGACTTTAACTTACTCTTTCAATTAATTAACAAACACTCACATTAACACGTGAAAAAAAGTGTAGTTTAAGCTTACCTTCTCCATGTCATGGTCGTTTAACAAATGCAGCTCACGGGACTTGAAGCAGTTTTGACATTTACTTTTATTAAAAATGTTGGCTTGAAATTTGTTACAGGGACTCGACGCTTTTTCTCCCGACATCTTTCAGTCCTCTGCCGGTGAGTAATCCAAACACAGTCCGCTGTCCCTCCTCCGGTACTCGCCTTTGAATAAAGCGGTTGATCCTGTACGAACATCTGTCAAACACAGAGCTCCTCACCCTCTGTCGCCATGGGCATGTCATGTGACGCGCTACCACCACACAACATCCGGTCACAAACCTACAAAATAAAACCAGCAACGACTTCTTTCTTTCTTTAAAAAACAAATAAATACTAATAGAATGAAATTAAAAATAGATAAATAAATAAAAGAAAATGAAATTAAATTAAAAGATTACATGATATGATAGAAAATAAGTTATATGTAAAAAGAATATAGAGCAAATAACAATATCATATCATTCATAAATCAGATAAACAGAGAGGTAAATAAAATAAAATTGAATAACTAGAAGTATAGAAAATAAAAATGGAAATAAAAAAACTATACAAAATCACCACCTCATCACTAATAAATTTCAAGTTGTTTCAACTTAGAAATGTATGTTCACTTGCTGGCTTACAAACTTGAGTAAAAGCAACTTCAAGATAAGCTTTGTTTCAACTCAAAAACCATAGCATATACAAAGTGTTTAAAACAAATTATCATTTGTTGTTTGAACTTGATACTCTGAGTTAAAACATCCAAGTGTGTTATAGTACCCACTCAAGAAAAAATGCTATATACTGTCAAACAAACGTATAATTCCGCACTAAATCAACTAAGAATTTCAGTGTAAAATACCTTCAGCTTTATTCATACCGATTGCAATCTTATGTCAAATCAGTTAATTATTTATTCAATTTAAGTGGAAAACTGTGCAATAACAAAACAAAAAATATATCTGTAATATGATACTTTTCCTGCTCTGAACTGAAGACCTTATAAAATGGTTACAGAAATGTTACAATAAATATACATCTGGCATATAAGGTTTTGTTTGATAACATCTTCGGAGAAGTTGGCAACAGACATCCCTTTTCTGCTTGTATCCACTTATTTTGAAAGTATTAACCAGAAGTAAGGGATTGTATTATGTCTTCTTTGACACATGTGATCTCCACACAACAAAACTGTTAAACAGCTTTCAGTCTTTTTTTTTTTATTGCCAGTGCATGATTATTTCCAGCACTGATGTTACTATTTTTATTTTTAACATCACGCTATGTGAAAAATCATGATACTTGATACACGCTTATATTTATAATGATTATACTGATGGTAAAAATATGTGTTAGCCATAGTTTAAATATAGTGTTGCATTTTCTCATTATGACCACAGGAGGACAGTGAAAACTCTCGTTTATAAATACTGTTACACAAGTCTAACCAGAAACAACACAAACACTGCTGAAAACCCTTTGTAAAATAAATGTTAATTATCTGTACAAGCACTTCTAACTGACCCTGTGTTTTGATAGGATAGTGCAGAAAAAGGACTCCCCCACACACAGACTGACAGTGGATGCAAGCATTTATTCAAGGCAATGGCAGTGGCAGGGATTGTACAAACTGAAAATGTTTTTCAATGTTTGGCCATCCAAAAATGTATAAAATACAGCGGCTGTTTATCATTAGTTGATATGTTCCACTTATTACACTAAAATACAGTTTGAAACAGAACATACTGTTTGCTGCAGCCTCTGTGCAAACCAGGTGATGTCCAAATGGTTATTCTCTCACATCCCATTGTCAGACAGATTTGTTTGGGTATTTGGGCCTGCATTTTTCAAGAAGATAAAAGTTATTTCATAATAAATTAATGCTTTCATTTAATACATTTTCTGTGACAGATCACACAAAGAATAAAGCTTTTAAAAAGTCATTTGACATGATATCTGCAAAATTTAAAAGTGCGTTTCTCAACATGTGCATAACTACTTTATTTTTTCAATGAGACCACGAAGACTGATTTGATTTTGTTTTTCTGATTTTGAAGACAAATTGTTGAATATTGCTGGTTAGATAGATGCCACTGACCATCCATTAAGCCCCGCCCCTTTTGATACAGTTGCTATGTCAATTAAACAACATTATGTCATTTCTGCCACTAGGGGTCTCTCAATCAAAACAGCAACAAAAGAAAGACTTTGAAGATGTCTGAAGTAGTGTGGGATAATAGGAGTTGTTGGCTTCATTGTTAAACAACCACAGACGAAAATCTGACATGATGATTCAGGCAGAAATTCTGTTCACTGTCAAGGAAATGTGTTCTGAGTTTTGTCCATGTAACATTTAGTCACATTATTTCAGTTATGTCATTTTATTCTAATGAAACGGCTGCAAGTGATGTTAGCTATTACGTTAACTTGCTAACCCACAATTAGCATTAGATGAGCTGACTGTTGTGGCTAACTTTATGTGGCATATTCAGTTGTGGGGTAGCTAGCGCCCTGGAGCAACTTGAATTCAGCCATTACAAACCCAAGTGCCATGTCCGAAGCTGTGGCCTTCTTTCCCCCGGTGAAGGAGTCTCCAAGGGGGGAGTGAGGCGGAGGGACTGTTGGGTATGCTAGCTAGCTATGCCTTTTAACTTGTGTCATTATTGGTCTGACAAGTAAGCAGGGCTAGAAGGGGCTAGAAGAATCATTGCGTGCAACTCTACAATAAAATAAGCTTTTACCCCAAACAATATGTAGCAGTAAATGCTGATATTGTGGTAGTTGCCACAAATAAATCAACGTATGTGAAAAACACCACATGTTGTAATGTTATGACGTTACCGTACACTTTATATAAGCCACTGGATCGAGAAATATGCCAATAAATTAGGTCTTTACTGGATAACTGTATTGCGTCATCATCACACAGCAGAGAAACACTACCTAGCTAGCTAATTTTAACCCCACAAACTGGCTAGCATTTGCAATGTGCTCCTTGGAGGTAATGCTCAGTTAGCTACCGTAGCTAGTAAGCTACATCTGGCTTGGTTTTGTAAAAGTTTTGCTTTTACTACAGCCCTAGTTACGGTTGCTAAGCTATAATCGGACAACGGCCGTTCCTGGGGGAGGGGCTTAACAAACAAAAGTCAGTGTTTAATAAGAAGGTTTCAACCAAGACAAATTTCCCTTTTAAAGATCAATTTCTAATTCAAGTAGCTTCCAGTGTGCATGGCCAATTTAATATATTTCTTATCTTTTAGATATTAATGTTTCATATTTACAAAATGACCTTTGAGGCCGCTCTGATAAAAACAAAAGTAAACATTTGGTCTGTGTAAGCAGTGCAGGTAATAGCATCATATATGTTTAAGGAACATTAATATGTGATGTATAGAGGAAAATATTACTTTGGAAAAATAAATAAATAAAAACCTTTTTCTCTCACAGCCACACAATAAACGCTATGATGGCTTCTCAAATCTAAAACAGAAATGAATGTTTGTGCTCAGGAGGGAAATCTAAACATTAGACTGTTTTTTTCTCATATAGTGCATACTTCATAAGACAGCTACTCTGGCATTGTCAGGCAGTATTAGTGTAGATAAGATACATGTCACATTCATTCTACTACAAATGTAAAGGATACTACAGTATTTTTTGAATTCATAATGAGATCGGCTCACTGTGTGGGTGTTAAAGCTAAAGCTGGGAGTTAGATATTCAGTGGAGAAACACACACTGCAGTCCAGTTTGTTAAGTAGAAGATGTAATAAAACAAGTCTTTTCTTGGACGCGTTCACGACATTCAGAGGAGTAAAGAAACCGACTGGAGCCAAGCTCGCAAACAGAAAAGGAGGACTCGTCTGTGCTTTCAAAACTCGTGTCTGTGATACATGTCTGGATCATAGTATTTGGTGACCACCACTCTGTTGGCAAACTTTCGGCCGGTGAGAGCTTGCATGGCTTTCTGACAGTCTGCTGCAGAAACATACTCCACAAAGATCTAGAATAAAAAACAGTCGGTCAGGTCCTGAACAGTATGAAGATGAGCGGAGGATCTTAGATGTATTCACAGATAAAAGAAAATCTTAGAAAAGCAGTTGTATGCTGCTTTTTACTGCAGGTGGGAAACAAGACGAACATTTGTCAAACAAACCAATTAGTATTCAACCTTGCAGTCTTTTCTCTTGTAAAATCAAAAAATGGTGCCACAAAACAATTCCAATTACGCACAAATCTGACCTTTGTGCCACTTGTGTGAGTACATTCTCTAGTGTGGCTTACTGTAGTGTGCCAAACTGTAATGTGCTCATTACTGCCCCCTGAGGCCTGAGAGCAGAAAACACCCACTGACACTAAGGTTGTGGTTGTTTTTTCAGGGTTTCTAGTCTAGTTCTACACCTTAAGGCAGATTTGAGACTTTTTAAAACTTTTTTCAACTCAGAATGTCATTTAAGACCAATTCTCTAAAACCGGAATCAGTTGCTTAGGATTCAGGACTATTTTGCTCATATGTTTATTGTAACAGTTGTAACAGTTTTTTTTAGTCTGACCAGCCTGGTGAATGTATGGGATTTTGTTTTTAACGTCTTTTCATTTTAAGCTTCATAAAGAAAAATGTATCGAGAATTAAAAAAAGGTTTTAAAAGAGACTTCAAGGATCAAGTCCAGCTGGTTGGTTTGACAAATGTACATCTGGTTATCTTACCCACCTCTGTTAAAGACATTGGACACTTTATTGTCATTGTAGAAGTATTCCACATAGTCGATGAGATAGTCCAAGACGGGGCTACTTCTTCTAAGTTGTCATGAGAGCACTAGTTTATAAAATATTGCTCTGAAAATGGTAATGGAACATTAATTTTCAGGCTTACCAAGACACAAATCACCATGACCTGTGGTTGCTAATAGATTTCAGACTTTTATTCAAGAACTGTTTTTGGTGTCTAATTCATCAGAACTTCACTATCATTTTTCACTATGTTTTCCAGTTTGAAAGTCAAAAAGCAAAGACCAGTAACAACCCAGTGGGTGATGGGTTTGAGGGTTTGCCAGACCAGAATGAGACAAGCAGAAATTTGTGTGCTGGCTTTGTGGAGCTAATTTAGTTTAACAATCTATGTTTGGAGTCTAAACATGTTCAGACACCAGGCTCACCTTTCCACAGCCGGGAACTTCCACACCATCGACTGGTCGGGGGATCTCAATGGAGCGGACGCTGCCGTACTTGCAGCACTCTTCGCGGATGTCTTCAAGGATCTCCTCGTAGTCTTCGTCATCCACCAGCTCCTCAGGCATCACCATGTTGAGAAGGCACAGCACCTCAGTGGGCATGCCGGAGTTCTGCAGCCTCTGAAGCCCAGGGACCTGCAGCGTCACCGGGGTCTCTATGATGGAGGTCTGGGTGTGGAGGAAGAGTTGTACACATCAGCTTAGAGTCAGTTTTTTTTTAAATAAGACTCTGGTACAGACTACCAGATTCAGTCTTATACTAAATATATTTCCTGTAGAGCTGCTTCCTGTCCCCCCCTCCCTCCGCTTGTTACTGTATCTTTGGCATTCCTTCAGTGGATAAACATGCTGGAAGTCATTTTTCCACTGACCTTTCACTCCCACCATCTGCCACTGTGAGAAAATTAAGCTCCTTTTGTCCAATCAGAGTTGACATGACATAAAACAGGAGGAACACCAAAGATACAAATTATCTAATTAATGATGGCTGAATTACATTTAGGAATAGATCAGGTTTCTTTTCAGGATGCCTGAAATTTCTAACCATAAATGAAGTTGGATTTTTAAACGTACATTTTGAAAGAATATATGGAATATATTAAATAAATACACAACAAGAGAAAACAAGTAGAAAGAAATATACAATTCAAATTAAAAAAAAAAATACCAGGGAAATACCAGGATATTATTCTACGTTGTCGTGCATGCTGGCACGCTGTCACACTTGCACTTTTCCACAGTGATCTTTAAGGAACAGTACAAGGACTCACAGGATTGGCATTTTTAGCTCCCACACTTGCCCTTTGGACTATCAGCTTTTTGTCGCCCAGTTGCATCCCATTAAGCCCAGCAACTGCCTGATGGAGAAAACACACAACCATTTACATTTAATAACAAACACCACAGCTAATAATCTCAACACACAATTAGAATTACTGCCTAGTGACTGTATGCCTCCACGAACCCATCAAGATGCAAAAACAGGGATGCTTCACACAGCACAGAGGATCTATACAATCAGCACAGTTTAAAGGAGGGCGCTTGTGATTAGTGCCACCAACTCAGTATCACATTAAATGCCTCCCCTTCTGTTCATGAGGTATGGCATTGAAAAATGGCCAGAAAAGTGTTTTTGCAGAACATTACGATGTCACAGTGAAGTTGACCTTTGACCTTTTGGATAGAAAATGTCATCACTTAAAGCTATAGTTGGTAATCCTTTTCAGAAACACTTTTTGTTATACTGGGTGAAATGGGCCTTCCACCCTGAGAGTAGTCAATACATAATGTGTTCAGAAAAAGGAATGAAAAAAATCCAACCTCTGTGGCAGCTGCAGGCCTGTAAAAACTCTGACCAATCCCTGCCATTCGGTGCGAATGGAAAGAACCAATCAGATGCCTTCATGTCTCGTCCTGCCCAAGCCCCTCCGTCCCTCCCTCCCTCCTCCCTGCGTGCACTCATCACGTGTCACCGTTGCCGGACATATTCAGCACACTCCTCAGCAGAAATACCGAGTTAGCAGGAGTTTGCTGAACAATGGCAGGGAAAATGCAGCCAAAAGTACCACTTCCAGCATTACTTGTAACTGTTCGCCCCGCTAAACAGGCTAAGAAAAGAAAGTTGGAGGCAGAAAAGGCTGTGACGAAAAAGGCTTTGGATAAAGCGAGAGGACAAACCAGACGCCAACATCGGTGCAGCTTTTGAACGGTGGAGACAACTGAGGGAGCTGAAGGGCCTGAAAAGTGATGCAGAGGTTGCTGTCTTTCTGTTAGACAGGTAATTATTTGTTTGCTTTGGGGGGATTTGTTATTTTACTCAGCTCTCCTCTGCCCTGCTGACTCCTACTGCAGGATGCGCGTTCAAGCTTGTAGAGCCATGGTTTTGGACGGAGCACTGATGGGAGGGGGAGGAGGGGGTGGAGCTTAGAGGAGGTGCCGCTTTCAAATCTTGCTAGCTCTCCAACATTACCAACTATAGCTTTAATTATTTTATTTTATTAGACATTAGTGGGATTTTTTGTTATAATTACTGGCTGAATTCTTGAGTTATGGCCAAAAACATGTTTTGTGAGGTCACAGTGACCTTGACCTTTGACAACCAAAGTGGAATTAGTTTATTCTTCAGTCCAAGTGGATGTTTGTGTCAAATTTGAAGAAATTCCCTCAAGGTGTTCTTGAGATATTGCATTCATGAGAATGAGACCAATGCTAGGCCACATTGATCTTTGACCACTAAATTCTAATCAGTTTATCGCTGAGCCCAAGTGGACATTTTTGCCAAATTTAAGTAAATTCCCTTAAGGTCTTCTTGAAAATCATGTTCACAAGAATGAGACAGACGCAAGGTTGCAAGGAACAGATGTACAGATCAACAGAAAACCCCAAAACATAATTCCTCTGGCCATGGCTATTCCTGGTGCAGAAGCATGAAAAAATACTGTCATAATTAGCATATGAATTCTTCAGTTTCTGGCCAAAAACATGTTTCATGAGGTCACGTGACCTTGAACTTTGACCTTAGACCACCAAATTCTAATCAGTTCATCGCTGAGTCCTAGTAAACGTTTGTTTGAAAAAATTTCCCTCAAGGTTTTCTTGAAATATCACCTTCAGGAGAATGACACAGACAAGGTCACAGTGATCTTGACTTTTGACTTATGAGCCTATAAAATGAATTGTTTATCCTGAAGTCCAAATGGACATTTGTGCCAAATTTGAAGAAATCCCCTTGAGGCGTTCTTGAGATACTGCAATGAGGTGAATGGGACGTACGTATAGATGGAGGCATATAAACTGCACATAACCATTACCTGATCAGTGGCGCTGATGTCTACGTATTCGCAAAAGGCGTAACCTTTCGACAGTGACGTGGCACTGTCCTTCACAAGATTGAACGCTTTGAGAGGCCCAAACGATGTCAAGAGCTCCTTTACCTGCAAACAAGAATCAGATGAAAATATGAGACTAATAATTCATAGTGACCATGCAGAAACCTACAGAGTGAATTCTAAATGTCACAGTCACATCACAGTCTATTTATAACATGATTACTGGATGTAAAATGTATGCAGTTAATGCGCTTTGCTTGTTTGTACATTTGTGCATTTTACAGATTCTGCATTGCTATAAAAAGAAGAAAGAAGAGACGGCGGTGGATAAAAATGTTCATGTCTTTTGAGGGTTTAGGGAGGATGTGAAGGGCTGATGATGCGGAACTGAGCTACATCTGGGGAACATAAAAATAACTTCCTGAAATATCAGTGAGACAGAGTTTTAAATATGCAAATTATATTGAAAGAGAAAAATTCTCATATTCAAAGTTGGAAGTATTTTTACGGCAAGCTGAGCTGTAAATGGTGCAGGGTAAAATAAAAAATAAATGATCTTATTTAGATTTAACAGACTGATTATTACTGTATTTTGCCAACTACAGGCAAATTACATCACACCAGTGGGACAATATGTTTTCTTACCTTTACATTAAAAGCTGAATACAGCACCCCCCCCCAAAAAAACCCACCACCATAAACAACAGCATCCCCAAGTCACAATGATCAGGCCTTAATCCCCAAAATCCCCGGGTCCTAAACGCGCTCCAAAAGCATGATGGGAGACAGAAAGTAGCCAGTAAGGGAGCCTGCTGGCTGGGAGTGTATCCGTGTGAGGACCAGAATGTCTTACTTGCCTTGTGTTACATGTTGGCATGGCAGCAGTAGATGAGTACTACTGAACAAATTATGAGCGCAGACTTAACGATCTTACAGGCCCCTAGCTGGGGACAAAGTGGGGGAACAAAAATGAAAGAGCTGTGAGTATCAACGCAGTGGCAAGTGACTGCAAGAATTAAAAAATAAAATAAGTCAGTGAATAATATACATCAGGCTACATGTGCTCTGCAAGGTAGTTAGAGTATATGAGACAGAATGGACAGGTAAGAGTTAAATTCACTGTGTAAGTTTACACCATCTGCTCACCTGAGAGCAAAGATGGAGCTGTGAATCTGTTTAGTCCTTCAAAGTATTAGACTCAGTTATGAGTGCAGCCTATTTATAAGCAAATATTTACTGTAACTTTTGATGTTCTCAAAGAAAAAGTCCACCTATATACTTATACTGTTAGTTACTTTCCAATGTTCAATTAATTTCCTTTTTTTTTAATTTTCTTTTTTTGTGTGAATTTTTTGGGTGTTTTCCTGCTTTGTGCTGTAACTGCTGCACAACAATTTCCCTCGAGATAAATAAAGTTCTATCTTACATTATCTTTTTTTTCCACATAAACAATCTTGATACAGATCTGCTTGATCAGATTTGTTTTTTAGGTAATTGTGACAAAGATACATACTGAATGTGACATTCTTCAGCTGAAAATCAACTTGTAAATGCTCTCTGGTTGACAAACTATGTAAAAGCGACCTAGTTTGGTATTTCTGTACTGATCTTTCTTGTTACTTATCGACCGACATATAAAAACAGGGCCGGCCCTAAATTTCTCAAGGCCCTGTGCGGGATTTGGTTTGGGGGGGCCCCCCATTGTTATGTGTTGCCACTTCACATGGCACTGGACCAATTTGTATATTGTAAATATGGGTTTAAGCAAACATTATAAGGAAGATACTGGAGATACTTATCCCAATAAGTGTTGACTTTTGTTCTTTTCTTGGTCATTCATTTTGTTACACTTTGTTTCATGTTGTACATGTATACAGCTGCAAAATGTATATATTTTGTGTATGTATATATTATACAACAGAGTCCTAGGAGTGCTTTTTTTCATCGGCTACAGTAAACTACTTACTTAGCTTACCCAAATTGTCTATTTCACCCATCTCTGAGCTTATTGCTTTTTTTTGTTTGTTTGGGTTTTTTTTTTGGCATAATGTTATGAAATGTTGTCTGCTTGTGTTTAGGACATTTTTAGATGTTACATTTTTTGTTGTTATTGTTTCACGTTCATTAAAAAAAAATTAGGGGGGCCCTGAGCAACTGCTTCTATCACTTTATGTGTACACCAACATCAATACATCTGCAATGAGCGAATATTGGCTGATATATCGAATATATATATATACAGTACAGGCCAAAAGTTTGGACACACCTTCTCATTCAATGTGTTTTCTTTATTTTCATGACTATTTACATTGTAGATTCTCACTGAAGGCATCAAAACTATGAATGAACACATGTGGAGTTATGTACTTAACAAAAAAAGGTGAAATAACTGAAAACATGTTTTATATTCTAGTTTCTTCAAAATAGCCACCCTTTGCTCTGATTACTGCTTTGCACACTCTTGGCATTCTCTCCATGAGCTTCAAGAGGTAGTCACCTGAAATGGTTTTCCAACAGTCTTGAAGGAGTTCCCAGAGGTGTTTAGCACTTGTTGGCCCCTTTGCCTTCACTCTGCGGTCCAGCTCACCCCAAACCATCTCGATTGGGTTCAGGTCCGGTGACTGTGGAGGCCAGGTCATCTGCCGCAGCACTCCATCACTCTCCTTCTTGGTCAAATAGCCCTTACACAGCCTGGAGGTGTGTTTGGGGTCATTGTCCTGTTGAAAAATAAATGATCGTCCAACTAAACGCAAACCGGATGGCATGTCGCTGCAGGATGCTGTGGTAGCCATGCTGGTTCAGTGTGCCTTCAATTTTGAATAAATCCCCAACAGTGTCACCAGCAAAACACCCCCACACCATCACACCTCCTCCTCCATGCTTCACAGTGGGAACCAGGCATGTGGAATCCATCCGTTCACCTTTTCTGCGTCTCACAAAGACACGGCGGTTGGAACCAAAGATCTCAAATTTGGACTCATCAGACCAAAGCACAGATTTCCACTGGTCTAATGTCCATTCCTTGTGTTTCTTGGCCCAAACAAATCTCTTCTGCTTGTTGCCTCTCCTTAGCAGTGGTTTCCTAGCAGCTATTTGACCATGAAGGCCTGATTCGCGCAGTCTCCTCTTAACAGTTGTTCTAGAGATGGGTCTGCTGCTAGAACTCTGTGTGGCATTCATCTGGTCTCTGATCTGAGCTGCTGTTAACTTGCCATTTCTGAGGCTGGTGACTCGGATGAACTTATCTTCAGAAGCAGAGGTGACTCTTGGTCTTCCTTTCCTGGGTCAGTCCTCATGTGTGCCAGTTTCGTTGTAGCGCTTGATGGTTTTTGCGACTCCACTCGGGGACACATTTAAAGTTTTTGCAATTTTCCGGACTGACTGACCTTCATTTCTTAAAGTAATGATGGCCACTGGTTTTTCTTTAGTTAGCTGATTGGTTCTTGCCATAATATGAATTTTAACAGTTGTCCAATAGGGCTGTCGGCTGTGTATTAACCTGACTTCTGCACAACACAACTGATGGTCCCAACCCCATTGATAAAGCAAGAAATTCCACTAATTAACCCTGATAAGGCACACCTGTGAAGTGGAAACCATTTCAGGTGACTACCTCTTGAAGCTCATGGAGAGAATGCCAAGAGTGTGCAAAGCAGTAATCAGAGCAAAGGGTGGCTATTTTGAAGAAACTAGAATATAAAACATGTTTTCAGTTATTTCACCTTTTTTTGTTAAGTACATAACTCCACATGTGTTCATTCATAGTTTTGATGCCTTCAGTGAGAATCTACAATGTAAATAGTCATGAAAATAAAGAAAACGCATTGAATGAGAAGGTGTGTCCAAACTTTTGGCCTGTACTGTATATGTATATATATATATTATAATTATTATATATTATTCTGGCTCCAGCTGCAAGCAATTACTATTTTCTGATTTTAGTCTGTCGATCACTTGGTCAACTAAATTAAAAAAAAACATGCAAAAAGCAAAATATTCAAAAAATGCTCATCACAAGATGTCTTCAAACTCTTTGTTTTATCCAGAATCCAAAGATACGCAATAAATAATGATATAAAAGAGTGAAAAGCAACAACTTCTCATGTTTGAGAAGCTAGAACCAGAAAATATTTGTCAATTTCGGTCTGATAAGTGACTTTTACAATTACTCGATCAGGGCTCATATCAACGATTATTCTGCTGCTAATTTTCTTATCAATCAACTGATAAATCGTTTATAAATACAAGAAAACTGTAAAAATTTATAATTATTGAAATTAAAAGTCCTACTGCCACAGACGCTTCTTATTTTGCCCGACCAAAACTTTAAGATTTCAAATATTAAAGTTTATTATCACATAAGTCATGAAATAACACAAAAAACAACTAATCACATTTAATTATGATACTGTCACTTAACTTTGCTGCGGGTCAACTAATAACTTCTTCAGCTAATCATACAGCTACTGAACTATGGGCTGTGTGACAGCCACTCATCCTGTTTTCTTAAGGTGGACTTTTTCTTTGACAACATAGACTCAGATGAACAAGTAGCAGCACTCAAGATTAAATATCACACAGAAATAAATACAGCCTCTTATGTGAACATACTGGACTTTGCTTACCTTTCTTTAATCAGTATGCTTAACATGAGAAAGGTATAAGCAGTTTACTTTGATAGTCACAAAAAGCCTTTTTATAATATCCATATATGATTAATGACATGATATGACTTAAGTTTCAGATAGTTTAGGCAAAATATTAAAAATAAAAGCTAATTATCTATAGAAGTTGTCCATTGTGATAAAGGAAAATATCAGATACATATTCACAAATAATCACAAAACGGAATTTAATATTACCCTGTTCATGTTTTCCATGTATGGTGTTATTGTTAACTTTGTCATTTTTGGTCTTTGTTTGTATATATCACGTTGGGGTCACGTTCTGTTTCTGGCTCTAATAAACAGCTGTTTTTGACTCTTCAAGGAAAACTTCTGTTTTCTCTCTACCACAACACAGTTTTTGATTTTTCATTTCATAAAGAAATTTAAAACATATTTTGTGCCATGTTTAAAGTGCGACAAAAAAACCTCAGCAAGTGTGAGTAAAATGAGGAAACATGAGTGCACCTGTTCAGTCTGTTTCAGTTAAATACCTGGTCATCGTTAAGGTAGTTCGGAAGGCCTCCTATAAACAGTTTGTGGGGGGAGTCTGGAACGACTGTGGAGACGACGCCTACAGAGAACAAAATCACAAGTATGAAAAACATTTTCTTATATCATGAAATAAAATATGTCATTACTTAACACCGTAACTTAATACCGTATTACTCAGTGACAAACCTGGGACATGGAAAGCAGGCTGCTCAGAGATACCAGGTAAAGGCCGATAGTCATGAGGTCTTCTTATCTTCAGTGACTGACCCTGAAAAATGATTCCATCGAAGGCCATCGCCTGCGTCGTCTCGTCTACAGACCGAAACTAAAGAGGAAAATCAATGTGAGACTTCAGCTGTTCCAACAACAACATTTGAAATCTGCACATCTGTTATTTTTACATTCTTATCTTTTTATATTCAAATCATGTGATGATAACAGGCTTTTAAAAATCCAATTTGATTAACATTTCACACGTCTGTGGATAATGTCTTTATTAATGGTAAAATCTTATTAATGGAAATTAAAAAAAGCAGTAACATGATGCAAACAAAAAACCCTACGTTTAATAATGTTTGTGTGTCGTGTCTGTGAAATAAACTAGCAAATAAAATAAAATCCCTGTAAAGTCTTTATATGGATTATAGGGGACCCATTATGCTCATTTTCATGTTCTCAGTTTTACTTTGGCTTTCTACAAGAACATGTTCACACATGTTCAAAAAAAACTTTGTTTTCCAAACACTTTCTGCTGGAACACCTGTATTTACCTGTCATAGCAAATGGGGTATGACTGTAACGGAGAACGGCAGCACTTTCTAACATTAAAAAATCACCAATAACACAACCAGACACATTTCGGCAGGAATGTGATCTCACATCAGGGAGAAATTAATGACATTAGCAACCAAGATTACATGCTCTACTGACGTTAGTATGTAGCTACATGTAGCAGTGTACTTGCCAGGGAATGATGGGAGTAACAGCAGTTTCTACCACCAATAAAAGCTTCTAAACCAAAATCTTCACAACCAGACATGTTCCAGCAGGAATATGATGCGAAATTTGGGAGAAATTACCAATATCGTCAACCAAGATAACGTGTTTCCCTGACGTTAGCATACATGTAGCAGTGTGCTTGCAGCCAGGGAATGACTGTAACGGAGTGTAGCGGCAGTTTCTACTGTGAAAAAACACCAATAAAAAATTCTGAGCCAAAGTCTTCACGACCAGACATGTTCCATCAGGAATATGATGCGAAATTTGGGAGAAATTACCAATATCTTTAACCAAGATAACATGTTTCCCTGACGTTAGCATACATGTAGCAGTGTGCTTGCAGCCAGGGAATGACTGTAACGGAGTGTAGCAGCAGTTTCTACCGTGAAAAAACACCAATAAAAAATTCTGAGCCAAAGTCTTCACAACCAGACATGTTCCATCAGGAATATGATGCGAAATTTGGGAGAAATTACCAATATCTTCAACCAAGATAACATGTTTCCCTGATGTTAGCATGTAGCTACATGTAGCAAGGTAAGAAAAAGAAATCTTTCACAAGCTGACCTCAACTTGTCTCTAAAGTAGATGAATGGTTTGAACCCTGAGGTTTTTGCTCACAGGGATTACTTTTACATACACTTTACCCATTATTTGAAATTTCTCCATGTTTAAAATGAACATCTGACATTGTTACAATACACTGTATTTATATATTACAGGAAAAATGTAAAAGCATAATAGGGCCCCTTTAAACAAACATGAGAGTGATATCAGTCTTCTCATCTGACAAATATAGAATGAGCATGTATTCCAAAATGTAAAAGTATTACTTTAAATGCAGACTTTATGAAGGCAGCAGCAATAATATAATATATAGTATAATAATATACATTACATTAGGAAAGCAAAGTTTTTCTACACACCTCTAAGAAAGCAAAGTTTTTATCCTGATTAATCTGCACAGCGAGCACAGGGTTGCTTGGGGCTTGTGAAAGGCCTGCAAGTCTCATCTGAGCGTTGAAGAACTCTGCCATAGACTCCTGAGGAGGAAAACAACAAACAGCATGGCTGGAAACAACATGAACACATCAGTGTTTGGTGTAAATGTCACAGTTAATGTAAAAAACAGGACGTCAAATAAGACTTTACCTCAGTTACTCCAAAGGGAATATTTCCAACATAAAGGCGTCTGGCTTGTCTTGTCATCTGACTGCCAACTATGGGCACTTGTGTTGGAGCTGCAGCCACTCCAGTGGTGGTGGATGTTGCCAGCAGAGCTATTGTTGGTATCTGCCCTGCCGCTGAAAGAGAGAGAGGAACAAGTGGAAGCTCAGCTACAAACCTACAGCAAACTGTGCTTCCTTATTACAAATAGTATATCACTGGATTACTCTGATGCTGAAGAAAACTTGAAAACATGATGATTCTCAGGCAGGCTCTAGAGGGACTGAGTTATGACTCCAAGAGGGAGTATGAATTTGAGCTTTAAGGTGAATTTTACCCTTTTTTGGAAGCAGAACTACAGCCGTGTTCGAGCCTGGATACAAGCTCAAAAACATTAATGTAGGTGTAGCTCTGAAGAAGTCTGACTCGGGACTAAACAAGCAAAGAGAGAACATGATAAGCACCTTGCATAGCTTTATATTGCATTGGTGTGATGTGTTCAAAGCCAGGAGGAGGCACATCCCAGTATTTGCAGGTCCTTTTCTTCCTTGTTCGCCTCGGAGAGTGGCTGCAGAGAAACGAAAATAAAAGCTCAAGGACCATATTTACACAGTGAAACTTATGTGCAATCTGTAAAAAAAGCTCTACAACCCTCTGAACACTACCTACTCAACAACAGCAGACAGACACGGCTAGAGACAAGCTTTTGAACATAGTGGAGCATTTAGCATCTAAAGAGCCAGATATTTCCTGCAGCAATGAGTTGGCTAGTGCTGCATCTTTCACCCACTGACCTGTGCTTCTTGTGGTCCCGGGACGAGCTCCTGCGGTCCCGGCTCTTGCGGTCTCGGCTGCGGCTTCTCTTCTCTCGACTGCGACTCCCTCGGTCTTTGCTCCAGCTGCGATGCTTGTCACCTCGGCCAGGAGATCCACTGCGACTCCTCTTTTTGTGTCTTTCTCTTTCTCTCTCTGTGCAGCAGAAAGAAATAACTACTACATTTCTGCCAAAAAAATCATTGAGCAGCATCTCATTAGCATGTGCTTTATGCAGAGGTGGAGTGTAACTAAGTAAATTTACTCAAGTAAAATACCTTAATTTAAGTATTTTGTAATTTCTGGTACTTATACAATGTATAAAAATTGTACTTTTTACACCACTTCATTTATTTAACAGCCATACAGTAGTGACTTTGATTTTATAATAACAGAAAACCTATAACAAACATAATGCTTAATAATAATGCTTAATAATAATGCAGGACTTTTACTTGTAACTGTGATATTGCTACTAATACTTAAATGAAGGACCTATTCATCTTCCGCTTGGCTATAAATTATGGTGACCTGAATATGTTTGGGCTTTTGGACTGTTTGTCAGTCTTTAGGAAGTAGTAATGGGTGTGTTTCACATTTTTCTGACATTTTCTTTTTTGATTAAATAATTAAACGCTTATTAATCAAAAAATAAATGGCAGATTGATTGATGATGAAAATAAAAGTAAAATCCGGCCCTAATATTTAGTATTACTGTATTATTCATATTCTTTACAGACTATTCAGATTATGCTACAAACAATACTTTCACATGCCCATGGACCACAGGTGGAAATTAGCTAGTAGCCAAATCTGGCACAAAACATCTCTTCTCTTTTTTGGGATTAATGTATTTTTGCCCATGGTCCCTGGTATAAATAAATTTAACAAACTATCAAAACTTAATTGATGGATCTGTTTCTTTTTTATAATTACTGCAACGACCTTGAAATGACTCTGTCAATACAAAGTTATTACATTGTTCTGATCCCACATGGTATTAAAAAAAACCCTGCTCTGATTCTCTCCAGTCTCCTCTCTGGACTGGAGAGACAGCTGCATCATATTTCTCAGCGAAATCTGACAGTTTAATGTGGCTGTTCTTCTTGGCAAAGGGGAGCATCAGGTAGAACATGACTTAAGACTTTTTAACAAATCGATAAGAGGTACTCTTGATTTCTGTGTAGATCTTATCCACCGGAAGCTCTACACTGATTAAATGTCAAGTTTTAAATGTAGTATGTTTCCTTTTCTTTCTTTCTTTGTGTCTGGGAGCCTTCTGCTTTGTATTGTGTACTTCTTCACCTCTCCACCTCACTGGAATTGAGATTAGTATTTATATCCATGTAAGTTAGTCTGACAGATTAATTGTTTATTTAAATTGTCAGGAAATAGTGAAACACTCCCATCATAATATTCAAATTCAGATTGTTTTATCTGTCCAACAGCCCAAAAAGCTTCTTAATAGATGCTTTACAGTTTTTATCACATGAAACAAGGGAAAGTAGGGTATTCTCACATTTAAGATCATGGCACTAGGGGAATGCCTATCTTTTTATCAATTATTTTTTTCTGACTGATCAATTTATCAATTAATCAATTCGGCTCTACACACTCTTTTCTTCTGATTATTAAACATGGTGAGACTTTGTTTTGTTTTTCAGGCGGGCAACATAAATCAAAGCTATGATCTTGATGATGAGGATTTTTATTATCATACTTGTTGTTTTGTTGCTCTTGTCAGGGGAATATCACATATCAGTTACTGACTGATTTTTGTATTATTTTTTATAAATACTGTGTTGCAACAATTAACAATGGATGCCGAATTGAAAAGTACACTATAATGATTGGATACATGTTATATTAAGTCATTTCTACCCGGTGTCTCTTTGCACAAGAGGAAAACATTATAAAAGGTGTCATATTCTCATGCAGTTTGGCATGTAGCTGTCTCGCGCAGGAGGATGGCAGGTAAGTTCACTGTGCACTCTCGCCGGTACCCAGACTGCGTTCAGTGATGTATGTAAGGTTTAGCGTTGTAACGTTAGTGGCTACATGATGAGGATGATATCACCGAGGATCATATTAATTATGCTAACATAAATTAGCTTAGTCATTTTGTGGAAAACTACACGCTGAAGTTGCTGTCAGGTCGGGTTATTCATTCATAAAATAATCAGGGGAGCTAACGGTGCGCACTATGCTAGCTGGAGGACCAAATCGGGGCACAGACAGACCGTTAATACTCACCCTGGCGATTCTCGCTAAGCTGTTTCTCAAATTCCTCGAAATCCGACATTATAGCGGTTTTCTCGGTGTATAAAAATAAAGCTGGTCTGTGTTTTCTGAGGGGGGCGATAAACCAACCAGTGTGTGTGTGTGAGTGTGTGTCAGTGCAGCAAAAACCACTGAAATATTCCCGGTGTCAAAACAGTCAATGTATATATACAACATCCGGTTAAAACCTTCAAAATAAAAGTACTCAGCCGTACTGGGTTTTTTTTTTTACTTCCAGAAATGCCCCCAACCCCAAACCTTAATTAAACTTTTATAGTTTCCTTGCTTAACCCCGGTAAACTGTCACATTTGAGAAGCTAAAACTATGTTTTAGATGACTGAACAAAAAAATCAGTCATCAAAATAGTTGCAGAGTATTTGTCTGTCAATGACTGTGTTTAATAGATGCAGCTCCTTCATGCAAATCATATAAAGTAAGCCAATACAAGGATCTGGCTACCAGCTGAAATCATATGGAATGAAACAATTAATACATTAAAAAAAAAAAAACACTGGCTTAAATAAAATATGTATGGTAGCCTACACAATTAAAAATGAATGCTTTTAAAAATAGTTTGTAGAAAATATTAATGCAATTATGTTTTGGAAAAAAAGTGACCTCTCAGTTATAAACAAAAGATTGGTTGATTTTAGATTTAAGAGATAAGATAAGATAAGATACGATAAGATAAAACTTTATTTATCCCACACCAGGAAAATTCACATGTTACAGCTGCTCAAATAGCACAGATAAAAAGCAACTTGAATGGCAAAAGAATACTTACAGAATAAATATAAAATACAAAAAGATATATATCAGTATAAGGAAAATATTGAATATAAAGTACTAAATTTTGACACAACTATACACTCAATACTATTTGAACTATATACACCTTTCACTTATGCACATATGGAAAAAAGAATAATAATCCTGCCATTAAATAATGAGCCTGTTGAAAATATCAAACTCAATTTGCAAACAAAAACAACCACACTTCACTATTTGCACAAAAAATGTCAACAATGACTTTGTTGCACACACTTTTTATGTATAAAGTTGTACAAAAACCGCAGGGCATGTGCACATATTTTTGGCTTTTATTGTGGAAATGTCAACATCCGGTCACACTATGTAATTTTTTTAAACTTGAGTGACAGAATTTTAGAGCCTTTAATTTCGAGTCTCTCTCTCTCTCTCTCTCTCTCTCTCTCTCTCTCTCTCTCATTTACACACACACACACACACACACACACACACACACACACACACAAATGAGGTTTCACAATTAAAACTTAATAAATGTCTATAGCCCAATCAGGAGAAATCAACTATGGGTCTTTAGGGGCATGAAAAATGTAGGTTTTGTAAATGTTGGTGTTTGTTAGTATTTCTGCCACCATGCCTGGAGAATTGTGTGTTTTAGAGTTAGTAGTATTCGCACAGGTTATATGGCAGACTATCCTTTGCTAATTTTTAAGGAGATTTTAGTCTCAAAGCCTGCTACCTACAGCTGCTGAATACACAGATCATTTTAAAAAGCATGATTCAAATAAAGATTGCATCTATTGTTTAATCTGTTTTGCACTACTCTAAGTGTTTTTCTTGGCATCAGAAATCTAACCCAAATGTAGCCAAACAACAGCTAATGGAAACACCTCTCTTTCCCAGCAGCCCCCTCTCCTGTCATTCTAAACATAACATGTTGACAACATACATGGAAAATAACTGACTCAGCTGTGCTGCTATTAAAAGAGCTCAAATCCCAGAGTATTGCTCTGGCAGCTCTGCAGGCTGCCATGTCGGAGGAGCTCTGTGAATGAGCTGCTGAGGCGTGCAGCTCCTCAGGAGACGAATAAACCCAGAGTCCAGAGCACCTGCAGAGGCCTGAGAAGCAGTAAGTGTTGGCTGGGATTTCATTTCTTACAACACTGAGGTCAGTTAGATATGTCCAGCTCTCCATTACTTGTGCAAGGTGCCAGGACACCTTGTTAACTGACTGGAGGGCTTTAACACTTTGATCTTATCTTTAATTTTATTCTACAAAGCTGCTGTATAGAATAAAAAGAGCTCTATATATTTTGTCCTGTTCAGGTTTTGATTATGTTTCTTCATCTCTTGACTCTGTTGAGGAATAATGTGGCAACTACTCTGTGGCACTGAGTCTTTGTGAGAGATACAGTATCTATTTCTAGGGCAGTTTATATTTAGACAAACAGCCGGTGCTTGCTCGGCATGGTAAACCTAAACCAAAAGGTTATCTTCAGATTCCTGGTTGGACAAATCTAGAACATGTGAATGTCAGTTTTTATCATCCGATGACAAAAAACTGACCTTGTCAAGCAGTTTCCAACAGATTACACTTTATGAAGGAAAGACTGTCTCTCCAGAGCCGTTATGAAAGATACTCTGTGACTCCAACAGTATGAAGGACAGACACCATGGACACATGGACAGATCATGAGACAATGGCCCCCCAGTCACAGACATGTAAAAGGCCTCCCCAGCCATGGGAGCAAGAACTGAAAAATTTGTGGTCATTTTGTGTCTTTTTGTGGTCATTTAGCTTCTTTGTGGTTGTTTTGTGTTTCTCTGTGGCCATTTTGCTTGTCTTTGTGGTAATTCCTGCTTTCTTTGCAGTTGTTTTGGCTCCCTTTGTTGTCATTGTGCCGCCTTTAAAGTGATTTTGTGTCTCATTGTGGTTGGTTTGCATCTCTTATGTAATTATTATAGTTATTTTGTGTGTCGCTGTCATTTTGTGTCTCTGTCTTTGTTTTGACTGTTTTTGTCATAATTTTTTGTCTCTGTAGTGACTTTGTGTCTGCTCATGGTCATTTTGCATCTCTTTGTGAACATTTTGTGTCTTTTTGTGGCTGTTTTGCTTGTCTTAGTAGTATTTGCTTTTTCTTTTTGTAGTGACATTGTGTCCCTTTGTGGTTGTTTTATGTCACTTTGTGATCATTTTGTGTCTCTGTTTTTGTTCTGCCTTTTTTTGTAATAATTTTTTGTCTCTTTGTAGTGACTTCAGTGGCATAAGGACGTTACAACGGGCCCCAGTGCACACTACAATGATGGGCCCTAGAGCACGTTATTGTGCATGTATTGTCTTGACACAAATAGAGACTTGATTGGACAACATTTACATACATTTACATTTTTTGAAGCGTACGTAGAAAAAGCATAATATTTTGTTTTAACTAGCTACTGACTATTTAAAAAATAAATAAATAAAAGAGTAAACCATGACGTACTGCACATGAGTTTGCCTTTTTGAGGACATAAATAGTGGCACCATTTTGAAATCAGGCACATTCTTTTTTTTCAGTATTGCTCTTTGAACACAGGAATAAATTCAAGGTGGCAATCTGAATCACTTACAAGGGCCCACACTCTCTACGGGCCCCTTGACCCAATGGGCCCCAGTGCAACCGCACTACCTGCACTGTCTATATTTACGTCCCTGAGTGATTTTGTGTCTGTTTGGTCATTTTGTGTCTTTTTGGTTTGTTTTGTCTCTGTGTGGCAGTTTTGCGTGTTTTTGTGGTCGTTTTGTGTCTCTGTCTTTGTTTTGCCTGTTTTTTGTAGTAATTTTATATCTCTCTGTAGTGACTTTGTGTCTGTTTGTGATCTTTTTGCGTCTCTTTTTGGACAGTTTGTGTTTTTTGTGGTTGTTGCTTGTTTTAGTAGTATTTTTTTTTTTTTGTAGTGACATTGTGTCCCTTTATGGTGGTTTTGTGTCTCTTATTTACATCTGTGGTTGTTTTGCGTCTCTCTGTGGCCATTTCGTGTCTCTTTGTTTTTGTTTGGCCTGTCTTTATAGTAGTTTTGTTTCCTTCTCCTCCTTGGTCATTTTGTGTCTTTTTGTGGTGGTTTTATATGTCTTTGTAATAATTTTTTGTTAATTTATAGTCACTTTGTTTTTCTTTGATGTTGTTAGGTGTCTCTGTGGTCTGTGGTCATTCTGCAATACTGTGTGGTTAGTTTTGTGTATCTTTGTGGTTCTTTTGTGTGTGTTTTTTGTTTCTCTCTGTTTTTGTTTTGCCTGTCTTTGTGTCATCTATGTTTGAATTATAATTACATTCACAATTAATATAAACAAATCTTATTTTCAGTTTTGGATGTAGAAATGTAATTTTATCTCATGCACCAATGACTGTCTGTAGATTGTACACAATCCAGTAGGCACAAATGTCATAGAGATACATTCAAGATGCAGTATTTATCATTTACTCTTTGCTTTAGATTACTAATGTAAGAAGATGGTTAAAAGATGCCTTCTCTGTTTTTATTTCAGACCTGTAAGCATAGTTAGATTTAAAAATGGTTGTAGAGGGTGAGATGGATTCCAATGTTACGGAGCCGGAGAGCTTTTGGGTATGAAACGCTTCTTTTTCATGTAAATCATACTCAATAGATCCGAAGTGGTCTTTGACATCCCATCTCATCTCATCCCCATCATCAGAGAAATCATTTTCCATCTATGAAGTATGTTCAAATCACTGAGCATACTTTAACAACAAATACCTTTAGCTAATACTCACACAATTATTTGCTTTCCTCCCCAGATTTAGATGAGATGACACCACTTGAGCATGGTGTAAATCTTCTCATCTAACGTAAAGCAAATAAGCGTGTTTTCCAGAATGCTGAACTATTCATTTAAAATGTGCAAGCAATAACAAAGATATATGTCCTTTTGTTTTATTTTAATTCTGCCCATTTTTCAGGACATCCTGCAGGACATGGACTCAGTGTGGACCACCACTGTTCTCCTGGTGCCATTTGTAGTGGTGCTGACAGCTGGATTTTTCTATCTCTATGGTGTTGTTATGGGTCTGTTGTCCAAAACATCTGTACGCAATAAGGTGGTGGTTATAACTGATGCTTTATCTGGGCTTGGGAAAGGTAACGTCCTTAAACAAATAAGAACTTACTCTGCAAAGTACTAAGACTCTGATCATCCATTTGATTTTATCATCTTGTTTTCAACGTTTAAAAATAAACGTATCAACAGAATGTGCAGGCGTGTTTCACAAAGGAGGAGCGAGGCTGATCCTCTGTGGGAAGAGCTGGGAGAAACTTGAGGAACTTGCAGATGAGTTGGCAAACGCCTCAGACCCAACTTTAGTGAGTATACC